CCTACAGAAACTGGGCCATTAATTTATAAGGTATTTGCTTGCGATACCCTTCGAGTGCAATAATCTCCTGGTGATTTCTTGCCTGGCTTTATTCAAGCACATCACTGTAATTGTGGGGATGTGCACTGATATGGGAAAACTTCATTCAGCTGGAAACATCTTGCTGATTGAAAGTAAATCACCTTAGGTAAAACAGAAACAGTATGGGATTTATTTTCTCGGGTAGGCAACTGGAATTCTCTGTGTATGCCTTTCAGGGTGATGCAGACGGTTTGAAGCCACACAAAGTTCCCTGAATTCCACAGGAAATACTTCAGAGGCAGTGGCTCAGGGTTCTGGAGTGGTGCCAAAGGGCAGGAGATGAGGCAGGGCTGTGGCAGTCGGGGCAGGAGGACCCGCGTGTGAAGCCGTGCAAGGGATGGGGTGGAGGGTGCCAAGCGCTGGGAGCAGGAGGGGGAACAGGGGTGTCCACAGGCTCCACTGCTGAGCGTGCCATCTCCCTCCCTGGCACAGGAAAGACAAGTTTAGTAAGATTAAATATCTTCAGATCAGCCGTGTTTAAAGCACTCCTCGGTCCATACCTACCGGCGCCATCTCGAAACACAAACACTGCTGCCTGAGAGCTCTTGGAGGGCAGGTGAGACACCAGGAGACAAGAAAAAATGTAAACATGGTCTTCATCTCTAAATACAGAGGGGGGAAAAGAGGAGTAAGAGTTCTAGACCAGTCAGCTTCTAGAAGCTTTCAAGAGAATTGAACTATCAATCAAATAATTTGCGAGCACCTTGGAGGTAAAAAGGGAGATGAGTGACATCCAGCATGGATTATACAAAAATGAGGCATGTTAAACTAACCTCATTTGATTCCTCAGCAGAAGCAGGAGTGGAATAGTTGGTTCCATATCGAGATTTTGGGAAGGTTTTGGCACGGTCCCACTGGATTTTTATAAAGCGACCTGGAAAAATAGTCCAGATAAAACTGCTTCAGGTCTTACACAACATTGCATGAGTAGCACAACTCTTTCCCAAAGAACACAATTATTGGTGGCTCGTGGTCAAAGCTGAGGAGTCCGTCACCCAGGGCTCACTGGGCTCACTTTCCTTCAAATTTTCGTCAATGAAAAATTGATGAAAATACGTGATTACCCCTGGCAGTGATGAGGAGCTGGGAGAGGTGCTTCAGCACACCAGAGGATAAGCTGTCCATGCTCAGACAATGTTGACAGGCTAGAGAAGTGAGGACTGGGTCTAGTCTGGGGCCCTGTGCCTCCAAGAGGAGGAGGACTACCTGCTTGGAGAAGGGGTGGGGAGGTGTCAGTGCATTTACTGAACCTGGCTCAGGCTGGAAGAGCTGGACAGAAAGTGCCAGAATAGCTTGGCTGGGACTGGTGCATGGGGACAAGGATGGCTGTAGCCTCTGCTCCAGGAAGTTTTCAGGATGGATGGACACTCCCCTCAGGAGGGACCTGGGCAAAGCAGCTCCCTGGTGGGATCAGACCCCGGCTGAACCACAGCCCTGCTGCACTGGGGCTGTCCTGGGCTCTGCTCCTCAGACACTGGGGCTGTCCTGGGCTCTGCTCCTCAGACACTGGGGCTGTCCTGGGCTCAGCTCCTCAGACACTGGGGCTGTCCTGGGCTCTGCTCCTCAAACACTGGGGCTGTCCTGGGCTCTGCTCCTCAGGCTGTGCTGGGCTCTGCTCCTCAAACACTGGGGCTGTCCTGGGCTCTGCTCCTCAGGCACTGGGGCAGTGTCAGCAGGGACAGGCAGCAGAGTTATCCTTGGCTTGGCCTTTTTCCTGCCTTCGTTTTGCAGGGCCAGGCTGAGGGCGTGTAAGTGCTCTGCTGAACGGAAGCCAAAGCAAGCTGCTACTCAGAATGCACCCCCTGTTTCCAAGTATTTCATTTATTTTGTAATTAAGCAATAATCACTGAGGCACTGGGCACTTCTTCAGGATTAATGACTTGCTGGGGATGGCAGAAGATCTGATGTGCAGTGGAACCATTTTCCCAGCAAATACCTGTGTGTTACTGCCATTCTGACACGAGTACAACAACATAACATGGCAACATATGGGGTTTGTTGTTAGCAGCTGAGGGATGGGGAGCAGGCACTAATGGGTACCTTAGGCAATCAGGTTGCTTCAGTTGTCTCTCGCCATTCCATTCAGAGCACAGTGTTTCATTAGTCACTTGGTGAATGAAATGGCTTTTTAATTGCTCAGAATCACTTTTTAAAATTACAGCATTCTCTCCCCCCCTCCACAGCCCCCGGGGATCCTCTTAAATCCCTTTTCTTCCTTTGCCCTGGAGAGAATCAGTTCTGGTGTGGCAAAGAGGGACCTGCCTGCAGCAGTTTTGTTTGTAGTTCAGACACAGAGAAAGGTATAAGCCATTTAGAAAACGGAGGATTCACATTTTTGGTGCTGAAAACACTCTGTTCCCATAATTTGCAGGTTGCTTAAGGAGTAGCCCACCCTGCCTAAACCTTTAAAGACTTGACAGTCTTGACACACTGCTCCCTTCTGTTGGTTCCCACAGCTGTGCATTTGTAGTGGTCACAGCTCAGCACAGCAGCCAAACCCCACTGCTGCTCGTGTCCTGTGGCACAGGAGCTGGCTCAAGCCCTGTCCCACGGCAGTGAACCTCCCAGGAGTGGTGCTGGAGCTTTACATGTCCTCCAGGCAGTAAAGCACTACAGCAGGCAAGAAGAAAGGTGTATCCCAAACGGGTGAATGGCAGCATGAACGTTTCCAAAGGACTGTGGAAAAAGCACCCAGGCTTTTTGAAGAAACATTTGCAAAAAGCATATAGGACAATAAACCAGTTCATGGTGTCCTAGCAGGCTTTGGAGCAGGAGTCAGTGGGGATTTGCTCTCTCCAGCAGCTGACCCAAACAAATTTCAGCGGCATCCTCTTGAGCCTGCACTGCCCCTTGCGCCTGACCTCACCCCTTTTTTTCCCCCCTCTTATATTTTCTTCTCTTAGTTGCCCAAAAACCAGCATTTAGTCTCGCTCGCCCAAAATCCAGCCCTGAGCCAGCCAAGCAGAAAGAATGAACTATTCCTGGTGATGCTTTTGCAACAGCCTGCCTGCCTCCCCTGGGGCCCCTGCTCTGCTGAGCCTCTCGCTGCCCTGCTCGTAGCTGGTGCTGCACAGGCTCTCTCGAACTCAAACAGGATTGATGCAGATCCTTGTGCCAACCATAACTCCTCAGGTTTGACTGCAACTTTTGGCAAAGAACACATTTCCCAGAAGTTCAGCAGCTTGCCTGAGTACCAGCAAATGATCCACGAGATCCAGTGTCGACACACAGCTCTGCTGCCCCCACTCCTCCCCCGTTACTGTCCCAAACCTCGGCACAAGCACTGGACTCAGGCAAAATAAAAACTACAGGGTGCAAGGTCTGCAATTGCCCATAACTCCATCAAAATCCAAACTAGCTTTTGACAAATTGGCACGTCTGGATTGAGCAAGTCAGAAAGGTTTTCATCCACCCCTGTTCATCTCAGCCTGGGTGGGGTGAACCAGCAGCCCCCTGTGCTATTTCCAGCACACCAGCACCATTCCCCCTCCCTGGAGGGCACCCCCACAGGGGGCTCTGCCCTGTCTGTCTGAGGCTGTCATATTTTTGGGGGGCTCAGGGGGTGCTGAGCAGCTCTTCCCAGGAGCTGAGTGCTCAGTGCTGAGCGAGCAAAGGTTGTGGTGGGGACAGCAGAGTCAGTCACTTTGTGTCAGAAAACCTTTCAGAGAGTTTCCCATCAGGGGAAGGAGATCTCCTGTCTCGGTCAGCATGTTTCTACCAGCCTTGTTCTTGGTGTAGTCATCTGTTAGTGACACAGGGCTGGCATCCAGCCCTGCTCTCCATCCCAGCACTGTATCCATTGCAAGCTCACAGTGATCCCCACTACTGCTCCCTCTCCCCTGGGAGGTGCCAGCGCTGGTTGGGACCTTCAGTTGTGTGGATGAGGTTCAGAAAACAAGGCATCAAAAGCCCTGTTACTGCCAGGGTGCTGGGTTTCCTCAGGGACCAGATCTGTTACTGAAAGACTCTCTGTTGTCCAGTGGCATCTGAGGATGAGCAAACAAGGATTTCATTTTAGCTAAGCAGATCATCCTCTCTTCTGACATTTAAGACAGGATCATAACTTATGTCTTCACTGGGAAGAATCATTGCCAAACACAATTAGCTCTGCAAATCCTGGCTGTTTTCTAGACACATCCAGGTTTAGTTCTGGAGTTACTTAGAGGTGAACAAATTACAGGGGTCAGTCCTCTGATCTGAGCAGGGGGCTGCAAGAACTCCCTCCACCCAACAGTTTAATGGAGACCAAGGCACAGAGCATCCAGTGAGCAGAGCTGGCAGGACTGGGGGTCCCATTCCAGTCTTGGTTCGGGAAGGGATAACATAACACACCTCGAGGCAACAGAAATCCCAGCACTGTTTCTGAAGGGGAAGGAAGGAGGGGAAAGCAGGTGGGGAGGGTTGTAGATACTTTAAATCCTGCATAACTAAGTCCCTTCCCCTCTCCATGCCTGTGTCTCCATGTGAACCTGGGGTATTTTGGCTCTACTTCCTTTTGTAAGGCTCCTGTTAAAAGGACTAGACAAGAAACAGGGGTTTCTATCATTTGTTTCAATGGCTGAGATCTGATCTGATGGTCATTGTAAGCACTGAACATGTTTCCATAGACCTTGACTGGGAAGGTAATGCAGGACCTGGAAGCCTCCCCGCTGTGAGCAGTGAGCTTGTGAACACGAGGGGCTCCAGGCTCCAGCGTTTGCAGAAAACCTCTTTGAGAGAGAGCAAAAGGGATGCTAATTCCAGCACTGGGCTCAGACACTCCTGGTGAACGACCAGGAAAGGTTTAAAAAGAAATGCTGACTAAATTAAGCAAATCAAGCCAGCAGATGTGCTCTTCAGAAGAGCACAGCTGTCTTTTAAATGTCTCCCCCACCGAAATGACATTCTCAGGAGTTTTTTATCCTTTGCATTTTCTTCAGGATCATCCATGAGGATGGCTTCTCTGGAGAAGACGTGAAGCAGTACAAGCCAGTGGTCTACAGCAACACTATCCAGTCCCTGGCAGCCATTGTCCGTGCCATGGACACCTTGGGCATCGAGTACGGTGACAAGGAACGACGGGTGAGTGACACCAGTGCTGGGGGACAGGCAGCTGAGCGCCTGCAGAGCACCAGCAGGAGCCACTGCCACAGTCTCAGCACCTGGGAGGGGAAAGGAGGGAGGGGGGATATTCACATCCCCACTGTGTGCCTGTTGCAGGTTGTGCAGCACAGTCACAGCTGCATTCCCACTGCATTCCCGTCCATTTGTGCGCTGGGCAGTGTAGCCCTGTGTCACTACAGCCACACCCTCTCATGCCCTGCCACCAGCCAGTCCAGGGCAAAAAACCAATATCTTGTCTGGGGACAGCCTGGACAGAGGTCCCCACAGAGCTGGGGAAACAGAGAACGTGTCCTGGCCCCGGTGCACGTGCTGGACACACAGGCTGCACGGAGAGATGGACTGGGCAGAAGGCTTGCTGCTGCTCCAAGCCCTTCCACCAGCCTGCTCTTGTAGGAAAGCTTTTAGGATTAGCTTGACTGGGCCTTTACTGGCTTTTACTCCCACGTCCCCAGTTTGAGTGTACCCAAACGGCAACTGCCCCTGAAAACAAGGGGAGATTTGACTTCAGTGAGGTTGGCATGGGCAGGCTCTTAGGCAGCAGCATTGGCATGTGTCTTATCAGAACAGCTCTGTGATGCCCAGCAGCCTCTCGTGCCACACACCTAGGCCAGCCTGTCCTTTTACAGTTGCTACTCTGTGGTGACTTTCACCAGCTCTCTATTTTTAAAACAGTGGCTCCTCTGTGAGGTGCCCCTGCCAGCCTCTGCCTCGACTTTTTGCATTTTTGGCTCAGACCAAGCCCACACAGAGAAACCCAGAGCCCTAGAGAGAAGTCAAGACCTCCCCTTTTGCTTGCTGCCATCCCAGAGAAAGTAAAACTACTCGGTTTCACTGGAAATAAAATAATTTCATATTGAAGACCTGGTAAAAGCAAAGTCCTATATGCCACTGAGTTTGTCATGACTATTTTTAGGTAGCTCTCAAGTGACAGATGTATGACATACCCCCAGCTCCTTATCTGAGGGCTGATAATAAAAGCATTCCCTAGCAGGGATGCCAGAATCCTGCTGTGGTGTCGCTGTGGGAAGAGGTACCTTATTTCTCCCAGTCGTATTTTGATTTCTTTGCATCTGGGGATTTTTTTCTGAATGCTGGAGACATTTCCATCCCCAACGTGGGGACGATGCCGTAATGGAGTTGCTGTGAGCCTGCCGAGGACTAATGCTGATGGCTTTGGGACCGAACACATTAATCTGTTGATTACTCGGTGACTCAGCTCTCAGCAAGGCAACCTATCTCGTCTCAGCTAAAAACCTATGCCCAGGAAAACAGAAACAAGTCATTCTCCATGTCTGGGAAATAGTCTGTGGCAGACCAGACAGCTTTAAAATATAAAATTTCTTCTTCTTTTTTTTTTTTTTTAAATGCCTGAAGTCCTAATTCGGGGAGGGAAAGCTCATCACTGCTTTAGTGCCAGGCCTGGCACAGCACGGGGTGTGGAGGGGGAGAGCTGCTATCAGGACTGCCAGGGACGAGAGGTGGAGTGCTGGTCTGCACAAAATGTCGTGTTGGTTCGTGTTCCCGGGGCAGAGACGCCAAATGTTGCTGGGATCGTGTGATAGCTCGGGCTGGAGAGCAGCTCGGGAGGTGTCCAGTCCTGCTCACACAAGGTTAGCTCTGAGGTCAAACCAGGCTGCTCGGGGCTCTACCCAGCTGGGTCTCAAATCCTGCAAGGATGGAGGCTTGCAGAGTAAAAGCAGGTGAGATGAAGGTCTCCCCAGCCCAGGTGTGCAGTCCTGGAGGAGTCACTCCTGTCCTGCTGTGTCAGACAAGCTGCCACAAACCACTCTAAACAAACCACTGGCTGGGGGGGCTGATCCAGAGTATCTGCTCCCTTCCTAGATGGCAGAAATATTTCTTCATCCAGCAGACAAAGGGGAAGGAAACTGAGCCTCTCAGGCCGTGATCTTCCACTTGCTCCTTTCTCTTAGGCAACCTCCACAGAAAGTTGCTGGTATTAGCATGAAATAGTATTTATTTTAATCTTACAAAGAAGGACATGGCTTCTGCCACCCCGCTTTTGTTATTAATGCACAGCTGCTGTAAAGAGAGGCCATTAAACAGGCGATTTGTTGAGTATTATGCTACGTGGTTCATCCCTTTTCAAGCAAAGCTTTTCTATTTTGGAAGTCATTCCTCAGCCAAGGGTTTCCAATGCAAATCTTTTAGTGGGGGATTTTCCCCTACTCATCACTTAAGCCCCCAGGAGAAGAGAGCTCAGGAGGGGAGCCAGGGCCATGGCTGAGCCTGATTCAGCAAGCAGGAAAGGAGGGGACACCCCCAGACAGGCTTTCCCCAGGGACCACTTGGCTATTACCACTTCCCCTGCCTCACTTCCTGGGAGACACATCTGCCCCTCTATCCATTCCAAATGGCATCCTGACCATGTTCGGAGTGAAAAAAAAAACCCTTGCCTAGTTAATAGATGTGAATGAGATTATTTGTGCTGTTTCTTATTGAGGGAAAATAACCAAATCCCCTCTCTCTGTTCTCATTTTTCTCCTGCCCATAATTGTACCTCCAGTATTTAGTCCCATAGCAGTGAAAGACTGGGGGAAGAGCCCAGACTAAACCCCGTAGCTTTTGGCAGTCCAAGTGAGATCGATGTAGGAAACAGGAGCTAAAAAGACAAAATAAATCACAAAAAGCAGAAGCTCCAGGTCTCGCTGACCCTCTCTGCTGATAAGGACCTGTCCCCAGGTTAAGGACAAAACAGCCTGCGTGTAGGATTTCATTTCTATGCCCAGGGCAGCGGGTTTTCCTGCAGCTGTGCCCGGCTCAGGGAGGGTCATGGCCTGCGGGCAGCACCCAGGTCCTTGCCCGGTGTCCTTCAGCGCAGGGAGGCAGGAGCACACCCTGCCAGCTCGGGGCACGTGGTCACTGCACACAGCATGGAAGGTCAGTGGGAGACTCCAGAAGAGCTGTGCAGTGCAGAGTCACACGTCCTTTATGTGTTGCAAGAGGGCGGGTGAGAAAGGAGCAGTGGGTGAGGAGATGGCCAGGGCTGCTCCTCATCTGCAGGGCCACCCCTGCCCTGGGCCTGCAGCCTCCCTGAGCCAAGGGCTTAACCACAGGAAGAGGGGCACAGGCTTAGCCTTGCCTGCCTACTCAGGACCCTCCAGCTGGTGTGTAGGGCACTACTCAGTCCTTACCTTCCTAATCAGATTACAGGCAGGAAAGAGTCAGGCTGTAACATGTAGCCTCTGGATTAAATGGTCCTCCAAAGTGCAAATGTATTAATAAAACGAGCTCCTCACTGATTCCCTTTCAGTGTACCCAGGCAGAGCAAATGGGAGGGAAATGGAGGTTTGAAGCCAGGATCTAAAAGTCAGTCCAAATGTTTGGAACTGATCGAGCAGGAAGGGCAAGGGAGGAATGGATTCTCTGTTTCCAAAGTCTGGCTTCAGAAATCCCAACCAAAAGAAGCATAAATTCTCTTCCTGGGTGAGTCAGTGCAGAGACCCCAGAAGCTGCTTGGAAAAGCAGCCCATGCAGTCCCACCTGGGTGAAATGCCAGAGCTGCAGCCAGGCTGGAGGTCTGGGGGTGTCTGCAGGTTGGAGGGGTTGGTCACTGGCTGCGATGAGCCTGCCCAGGCAGACACCCTGCCCCATGCAGGGTGCTATGAAAACAGCTGAGGAGTGTGCTCTCGTGTTCAGAAACCAGACAGAAACAGGCTGAAATGTTTCAGAAATTACTCCACAGAGAATCCAGGTATCAGTTGGGTGGCTCAGATCCAAGTGTCCGAGGTGGCAGGTCACAGGTCCAGCGCTCAGGGTCTGGAGGTGGCAGGCTGTGACCTTCACACTGAACTTTTTTCCCAGTGTGAGTCTGGACGTGTCCCTGGCTTCAGCTATGAAAGGAAAACTAAAATGCTGCTAAAATGTTAAAATATTTTGATTCGGTATTTTTTTTCTTTCGGACTTTGTAGCAAAATGTGTCTGTGGTGACCTTCTGCTGTGTACGGCGTGTGACTCCTGAACTGAGAGCCAAGCACAAATGTGCTGGGACATTCTAAAACACTGGCTAGCAGCATGTAAAAAATGTCTGTAGAGTGACTGAACAGCCCACCCGAGGTGGCTGGCAGAGAGGGCCACCTCAGACTGCTTCTGAGCACTGTGGTGTGTGCAGAAACCCACTGCCTCCAGCCCCATCCCCTCTGCTCGTGCTGAAAGGGGATTTTAGGGGTATCCCTCTTCCTCTTGCTCCTGCTTGGCAGTGGCAGGGGCGTTGTTGCAGCCCCTGTCTCCTACTGCCTTCCAGGCTCTGGAGGGGAGCAGTGTGGGGGAGGATCTCTCTTTTGTAAGACCTGCTCCTGTGGAACTGGATTTTTGTACTTGTCAGCTCAAGACATTTGTGGATGTCACTTCATTTCAGGCAGGTCTCTGTTTCGACCAGCTGGCTCCCGCTGCGTGTCCCTAACCCAGGCTCTCTCAGAAATGCAGAGGCTGCTAATAACTTTGGGGAGGGCAGGTGAGGTTAATGAGGCACTGCCGTGCTGGTGGAAGCCTCTGTTATCCTGCTGGGTGATCTGGGGGATGGACACAGTACCCCTGAGGATGCAGCCAGCCTGTGCTGATCTGCTGGAGTGAGCAAAGAGAACGTCCCCATGGTGAGGCACAACTTAGGGCTGCTTTGTAGAAGAGCAGGATGGAGTGGGAGAAAAGGGAAAATGGAATAAAGGGTTGGCACTGGACACCCCATTTTTGCCTGGTGTCAGCATTTGTTGGGATGTCCAGCTGCAGCTGAAGTTATATAATCATTCCTACTGTACTGGGTCTGCTGGTCTCAGACCCATTACAAATATCCAAGTGACAGTCCAGGACAAATATTCTAGCCTGCCCTTCCTGAAGGTCTGTCACTGTTTCCCATCAAGGCTGAGGTCATCTTTCTCATACACCCCAATCTTGGTCCCTCCACGAGCTGCATTTCAGTTGCCATCATTCGTGTTTCTGAGCAG